AAAACAAACAACATCAAATATTTTTACCCTTATGTAAACAATGTTAAAATTAAAACTGTAACAAATGTATAGCAATTTCTTCATGCACATATTATGAGCTGTGCCTTACACAACTAATATGACTTTAACACACGTGATGAATTAACAGAGTGAACAGCTGGAAGTATTAAATAAAGTGAAACCCTTAAGAACTAGCCAAAATAAATAAGCTGTAACGTGGTTTGAGAAAGACCATAGTAACAATAATAATAAAACTGAAACAAAGAAGTAACAACAATAGTGAATAGGATAATTAATTAATTAAAAATTAATGTACCTAAACTAATGACATAATGTTCTACTATATAAAGAACTGTTATACAGTTTGTATTAACTAAAGTGAAAGTTTGAACTAAAGGGAGGAAAAAAACTAACGGTAGTTGTTCTACTAAAGTTGTTCATTATTACCTTAAAATTTAGTTAATAAATTAAGGTATAGATGTTAGGTTGCGATATTCTGTAAAAATCCACTTACCAAATACTGGATCATGAGGACATCCTTTGAGTCTAACTCCTTTTGGTGTACTTTCTATTAGAAAGTGCCTTATCATTTCACTGGATTCAGGATCTGCTGAAAACCAGTACATATTAACTGTCATATAACTTTATGATATACTATAGGTTTAGAAATGATTTATTGTGGTTAGGAAAAGATCCTTAGATATGATTAGATAATACAAAGAGAAGCCTACAACGTATTTAAAATTCATGTGGTATAATCCTGTACAGTCACTTGGTTTGAGTTACATGTGAAGCTTAGCTTCAGAATCGTTTGATTTGAAATATTCAGATGGGGATGCTTAAAAAAAAAGGTTGACTAAGATGTGTACCATTCGAACACCAGTAAAAAGTATGAGACAAAACATTAAAAACTGTAGCTTATAAGTATTAAAATCTTGACGGATCTTGTCACTGGGAGAAAATATATAAGTAGCTGATTTGGACTACATGTTCATTAATTATAGTAATGACTTGCTTGATTTGTCTTTTAAAGGCAAGTAAATAATCACAGTATTTTAACTGTGTTTTATATACTCTTGTGAACTTCAGAATCATGAATTATAACATTGACTTATTTCTCTATTTTAGCACTTTCAAATCGTTTAACAGAACAAAACATTTTATATATACAAATAATATCAGTGAACATACCGATTTATTTTCAGGCATGAACAATTGAAGAAAAACTTGCCTGAATTTGCTCCATTGTTTAGTAATGATGGTGTAACTTTCATTGCAAGTCCAAAACAGCCTATGAAAGAGTTACTGTTTCGTATCACAAATGTTCCTGGGGACTTGTCTTTTAACATGTTGATTGCTATAGTATACAACATGCAAAATATGTATCAGAATATAAGCATTCCAATTGAAAAGACATTTTGCTTTATTTTATTACACTTCTTATATTGTATTTTATACCATGTTTTGTTTTTTTTCTTTGTTACAAAATCTGCTAGTGGAGTCTAATTTTTCCAACTAACTTTCATCATTTTTAAACTGAAGTTAAAAGAAAAAGTGTTTTGGAAATACATGTTACTACTATAAAAGCATATTTGCTAAGCATAAATAATTTAAAAACAGTGCCCTTTTCACGTAATTTTTTATATTTCTCTATAACAAAGTTAATGTTTTACATAAATGCAGCATTTATTAGTGAAATACCACAGTAAATGGAACAAACTATCAGAAGTTTATATATTAGAGAAACTAGTTTGACACATTTGTGCATCCTCTTCAGTCTCACGTTGTCTTCTGGTAGGAAAAACTGGTCAACAAATGCCTATGTGACCCTTGATCTTGGAATTCCCTTAAGGACACAGGAGGTCAGGAAGTTGTTAAGTTTAAATTGACCTTGGGAGGTGTTGAAATTAGGCAGGCTTTTGATTAAGCAACTTTCGACGATCCTTCTTTTTTTATGTAGTTATCCATTTAGTATAATATTCTTGTTGATTTCCAATTAATTTGGTGGCCAGAATCTCTCATATGAAGAAAAATGGCATTGTTTTGGTTTCCATATTTTATGTCTTTTTTTTTTATGTTAAGAAACTTTCGTGTCAACACTTCTTCTGGTTTCACCTACATAACCTTTCTCACAGGATTGGCATGGTATAATATAAACACCTTGTATTTTATCTTCATGTGTTTTTCTGTTTGAAGTTAGGCTATTTTTTAATAGTGTTTGGATATTTGTAAATGATTCTAAAGTTATTCTTCCTTAACATTTTCTCAAGGGGTTTCACATTATCATTGACTGATCTTTCTTTATCTTCAAGGAGCAAGGTTTTCCTTGCTTTGAGATGGCAACGTGAAATGAAACGTTGTGGAAAATGTAGTTCTTTGAAAATAGAAAATATTTTTTTTATTTCATGTTCAAGCTTGTCTGGTGGCATATTCTATATGCTCTAAGAAGAAATGAAGAAATTATAAACGTTTTGACCTGTTTATGGTGACACAAAAAGAAGTGAACATAACTTAAAGAATTTGTCAGTTTGTGGTATACTGAGAGGACTGGTTCTGTGTTTTTTCTGTTTATCAAAACATCCAAGAAAGAAGTTGGTCATCCCAGTCCAATTCATCTTTAAATTTGATAGTTGGATGAAGTTGATTAAGGTTGTTGAAAACACATTCAAAATCACTTCTTTTGTTTGGCCACACAGAAAATATATCATCAACATATCAGAACCACGAAATTTTTGAAACATTTATATTGATGGAAGGAACTAATTCGGTCTCAAAATATTCCATGAAAAGGTTACACAGTATTCGAGACAGTGGATTTCCCAAGACCATTCCATATTTTTGTCTAAAATACTTACTAAGACAGGTAAATACATTGTTGTTCACACCAATTTCGATAAGAGAGGTAAAAGTGTCGATAGGAACAGGCCAAGATAAAATTTTCTTTTAACAAATTCTATGGTTTCTCAAACTAGTACGTTGGTTAATAAAGTTTCAATGTCAAAACTTAACAGTTTTCCTTCACTGCATTTATTATCTATATTTTTCAAGTAATCCAGAACTGTATTCTGTATTTATATTTTTCAAGAAGACTTGCACAGTTCAGAGCAATATTGTTTAATAATTATATTTTCAAGAACTTCCTATTGATAAAAAAAATGCTGGTTTCTTTATCTTTATTATTCAACTCTTACAATGTTTAGTGTCAGTATTTCTGAAAACTTCTAGTTCTAGAAAAATTATTTGTTTGTTATCTGTATCCTTCAACTTCTGGAAAAATATTGTTCCAAGTATTTGATTACTCAAATATTATGTACTATTAATACAAAATCCCTGAACATGAATTTATTTTTCAAGCTTCAACCAATACCAAGATAAACATGTACATAGTTCCAATATTAATTGAGATTACAAGGCTTACATACTAAAAAAAAACACTTTCATCAGAATTTAAATTACTCAAATTTTAGTTAATACTAAGAAGAATCAGTAATCAGAAAATGTATCATTTAAATCTTTTTCATTAACCACTTCATCCAAACTTTCTGATTAATTTCAGCATTTCTTATACAATACTAAAATGTACCCTCTATTTAATATCAGTACTTCTCATACAACTCTATAAAAAATGGAGTGTCATTATTTTTATTACTGAAATATCATCTAATACTGAGGTTAATCTTCTGTATCAACATAATAAAACCTCAGTCATAAAGTTTACAATTTTTATCTGTATAATGTATCTTCTGGTAAGAAAGAAAAAGCTCTAACCAGCATCTGCATGCAGGTGATAAAAATATGTTCCCCAATCAGACAGATTCTATAATGTGATCAGTATGCGAATTGCTCTTAACTGTGTTTATAACTAGATTACTCCTCTTGTTGGGGTCACTGAGAACTCATCTGACAATACCAAACTATCTCGTATCTGTTTTTTTTGCTTAAGTTTCCTTAAGTAATTATTTGGTAGATAGTAGTTGAACTAGTGAAAATAATGTATATAAATTAATCTTTAAAATGTACTAGCTCATTAAAAACTATCTCTAACCATTATTTCTACAGCTCCAACCTCACCTTCATCTCTGGATATTGTAGGTTTGTACCATATTTTGGAAGTGTCTTTTACAAAGAAAGGGTGATGGTTGATGACAACAGGGAAATCTGTCAGAAAGATATCACAATTTTTGAAGAAGTACATCACAATACCAGTAGCACTTTAGAGTAGTATTCCAAATAGAAATGATCTTTAGTATAAAATACATAGGTTCAGCAAGATCATGTGTAAGTTTTACAACTAAGCTGAAAAAATGTATATTTCTACATGAAATTTAGCTTATAATAATTAACTGTAACATATTTAAATTAAAATGAAAGATCTTCTTAAATGTTAAGATGATTGAAACAAAAACAAAGTTACTAAATAATTGAAAGACGTACAAATTTAATGTAACAAAATATGCAAGTTCACTGTCTAATATATATATATACATACATACATGTATAACCTCCTTCCCGTTCTTATGTTTGTGAATTTTTTGTACCATAGGTGTCACTTTTTTTTGCCAGATTTTCAGTTCTCTTACTGTGCAGTTTAATTTACAGTCATGTATATTAACAAAACAGGTAGCAACACTCACAGTTTTATTGCATTCACTGCAAGAGCAGATACAGGGGGCCTATCCCCCCTTTTTTTTTGAGAACTTTTCTAAAAAAAATGGGAAATCTTAAGGAAAATTGGCAAAACTGACCTAGAAAAACCCACCTACACCCCTTTCCAGCCAGAACTCTTCTTCTTTTCTAAAACCCCTGTATTTATGCCTACATTGAACTACTTATATGTAAAAAATAAAATGCACTTACATCAGCTGCAATAATCAATTCTTTGGTGAGATAGTCCTAGAAGCAGGTAAATAATTTTATATATAAATTCATGTGAAATAAAAACGAAAAACCTTGATATTTATTTACCAATAATTTGGCTTCAGTGATTAGAATTTGGATTTGGTGTGGTAGTCCTTGAAGCAGGTCACTTCACATACAATCTGATGTTGGAAGAAGGACAGCAGTGCTCTAATTGTGTGTACCGCGGTGTTTAATGTTGTCAAATAGCTGTAGATGGCATTAGCACACAATTAGCAGAAAAACTGGGGTTAAATACTTTGGAATCAGAAAGTAAAGTTTACCCTGAGAATATCCTAGGGTGAATGATTTTTGTTCAGCTTGCTCACCTGAGACTGCCTCAGGGTAACTGCTAAGGAGGTTAATACACAGATAGCTGTGAATTTTGATATATATTTAAACTATTGGTAAAAAATCTAATAATATTTTTGCCTAATCAACATGTGAGCAAGCTTTAAAGCTTGAATAGCCATTTACCTATATGTAGTTTCTGAGGATGTAATATGTAAGATCAAAACCTGGACATTAAAAAGATCTCACTAAAGATGGACATTAATGTTTTCTGCCTGTATTGATTGGTTTGTAAGATTAACACTGAAATTATCTCATCTGAGAAAAAGACTGTAGATTTTCTGCCAGTGATAGTATGTGTCAATTTTTCTGTACAGTAAAAATATGATATTAAGAAGATTTACATAAGAGAAAGAGTGTTCATTCTTTGTTTTTGATAGTTTATACAGATTGTTTTATAAGAATTTAAGTGACAAATTGCAAATTCAGATCTTCCTCTGACATAAAGATTGTACTTTGTATACCTATGAGAGTACCTATGAACTATTTGATAAGAGTAAAAGAGAGACAGCTATAGAATCTCACCTGAAAGAGACACTGTACTAGACTCGTATGAATGGCCTGAAAGCTGACTTGGAGAATTCTGATCAACATACATTCCTAACGTTTGATGATGTGACAATTGTCCATTTTCCATTCTTTGCAAAAAAACAATACATTTCAAATAAGTTTAACTACTTACATATACTCACTAGAAGTAATTTTTATCTACAAAGGTTTGCTAATACATGGTGACTTCAACATGAATTTGATGAAGCTAGAATTAATGAATATTAGATTTTATAATTATTTTTAGGTAGAGCTATGTGCTTAATGCAACTGATACAGATCCAGTATATATAAATGTAACAAAAGTAGGTCAATGTTTGTTATACTGGGAATAGTTAGTAGGTAGCATATGAGTAAAAAGTATCTAGTTAGGGACAAATGGAATGTTATTGGGACTATCTGGCTGAATGCAAGCAATGTATTTAAGCTTGTTTGGGAGTGATCTTAGTTTCATAAAATGCATGTTGTGATCTTTATGTTCATATCTGATCATTATTATGAAGGAAACCTAAAGTCAACTACGAATTTAGCTCAACAATGCAATAATTCAAAAAATACAAGTCTACAGCCTTAAAGAAAATGTGGAGATTATAATCAATGATACTGTCTTCAGACTGACCAGTGACAGAGTCTCTGATATTTTTTACACTCATTTGATTGGATTCACTAACCTGTAATGCTATGTGGAATTGAATACCAGCAATTATTTCAATCGTTTCTCTAGTGATCCCTACTGCGGCTGTATTGTTTACTTCTTATATGTCTTGTAATTCAGTTACAGTGAATATTTGCCTCTGCCAGTCTTTCCTGGAGAAGACTAATGAACTTATCTTTCTATTAATACTACAAATAAACGACCTTATAACACCAAAATGTTGTTTTTATTTCATTAAAATGCTGTACAAATGCATGTTATAGATTTTAGTAGAAGTTATTATTTAAACCATTTGAAGCTTTGTACTGTCAGTTTCAGTTTGTGTTTTACTGAACGCTCCTGAAGAAGCTGTAAAGCGAAATGTTGTGTGTTTAATGAAATAAAAACATTTTGGTGTTATAAAGTCGTTTATTCCTAGTATTAATATGTCTTCTATACACCAATTTGCACTACAGTAATTAAATAACTTATCTTTTTGTTGCAGTTTAAGTTACTATTTTCTTGGTCTTTAGGCATATAAATAACTTTTGTGACATTAACAGCTCAACATTTTTTGTGATATTGTATGTGTGCAGTATGGGCATCTGTAGAAACTATCACAGTGCTTAATTTCACTCTGAATGAGGCACCGTGTTTCCTTGTCATAGCTTATTGGAGATGTCTCTGGGAGTTTTCTGATATTTTTTGTCTTCATCGTATATCTGGTGTTATGGTATTAATATTTGTAGATATTATATTCGAGAACTGAACTTTTCTTAATACTAGTTTCCATTAAATATGTCATGAAAAACTGTAATAAAGCTCTAAGATGTCTGTGGATCATCATCTAGAATACTTTTAGGTCTGCTATACTGAAGATCTTCCTGAACGATGTGTTGAGATTGCTGGTCTTTTCTTTGATTTGTTTTCTCTTTGGTAACATTTTTATACTTAAGAGTTTTGTGTTTGTGTACAGTTATGAGCTTATATTCCTCCATTTTTACCATCTCAAAAATATGCTTTCCTTTAAAACATAAAACCATAGGGCTTTTCTTTAAATGGGAGATGGACTATTATAGATCTTAGACCTCAGTAGTCACATTTATTTGAATTAGGTCCATTTGAAACACAACAAAATTTAATTCATGATGATAACTTTGTCTTGGATTGTCAGCAAAAAGGGGACAGGAACCTTCATAATCGTGTTTTACAGCTGATAGATCTTAACTTTTTAAGTTTAATCTGTTTTAACTGAGCTTCAACATACACTGCTTTAATAGTATATCTAATGCAAGTGTGACCTTCCCACTTTAAAATAGCACTACAGGTCACAAAAAAGTGACCACAGCTGTCTAAACATAACCTGAGAATCATCTTAAAAAATCACCTAAGTTTTTATACCTGTTCATTTTCTGATTTCAACAACTTACCCAGGGCTTTTTGGAATACCAAAAGTAAACAGTCCACATTGCGGCTCTGAAAAAAAAGCAGCAAGAATAATTAATATTATGATGCAATAATAAGTTACACTTTCCATGTACAGTCAATAAATTACAAACAAATAATAAAGTATAGGGTGTTGTACCATTCTGTCACATTAAAACTTTTCTGAAGAATTTAAAGTTGAAATCACATGGCATTAAAACCTGATACTCTGCTTACTAGGTTCAAACATGCTACTTTGTTTACCAGGCAGCAGTAAAACCTGCTATCCTGCTTATCAAATAGCATTAAAACCTGCTAGTCTACTCACCAGGTAATATTAAAACCTGCTACTTTGTTTAACAGGCAGCATTAAAACTTGCTATTCTGCTTATCAAGTAGCATTAAAACCTGCTAGTCTACTCACCAGGTAATATTAAAACCTGCTACTTTGTTTAACAGGCAGCATTAAAACCTGCTATTCTGCTTATCAAGTAGCATTAAAACCTGCTAGTCTACTCACCAGATAATATTAAAACATGCTACTTTGTTTAACAGGCAGCATTAAAACCTGCTATTCTGCTTATCAAGTAGCATTAAAACCTGCTACTTTGTTTAACAGGCAGTATTAAAACCTGCTAGTCTACTCACCAGGTAATATTAAAACCTGCTACTTTCTTTACCAGGTAACATTAAAACCCACTACTTTCTTTACCAGGCAGCATTAAAATCTGCTACTCTACTAATTAGGTAGATGTTTTAATCAGTTAAGAAATTTTCCCCAGTATTTCAAAACTTAAATTTCACTATATTAATTATTAAAGGAAGAACTTGGTAGGGCTTTTGTGCTAAACACACACTGAAGCCCACAAATACATAAATATATATATATATATAAATATTGATATCCCTCCCCCTCTATACATATAGATAGATGTCTGTTTAAACTATTCATACTACTTCATGGGTTATATTTAACACAAGTACACAAAATGGTAATTTATTATTCTGCATATGAGACTCTAACTTTATGCTTGAGATATTTTAATGTGTGAGAAAATATTCTGACATGTTACATAACTCAAATTTCTTTTTTGGACATAGAAACTCTTCACTTTCAACATCATTTAATTATTATGCGTAACGAGTAGTCCACACAAGATTGAAGCTACCTTGTGTTTGTATGTCTTACCAAAGCATTACCAAATATCAAGATGAACCACAAATGATTGCTTCATAATTCCATTGATCAATTGCTAAAGGTCTCTAAATATACAAATAGTTTAAGTGCCCAAAAGATGAGTCTTGCTTTTGTACAACGTAATTCTATTGTTAACCATAAGTTGTTGTTGATATATTTATATTTATAGAATTTCATTATTACATTTATTTAAATGTAGAAATTTACTGCTACCCACATGGTTTCATATTTTGTGATTCAGCAAATTTTTGATTCTGTGTGATTTTGTAGTATCAAGAACTACCCTTAAGAAGGTGTATGTAGTAAGTTATGTTACTTGTAGGAGATGTTTTGATTTGTAACACAAATTCTCACATAACTAAAATTGGTTTGTTCAACAAATTTAAATAATCAACTTTTCACTTTAAACTAGACAAAGAGCATCTAATTTTAATACTTAGGTTTTCCCAATGAAAGTACCACAAGAGATAACACTGAGTTAATAAAGTACATGTCATAAATCTTTAGTAAAGAAGAGACAAATCATGTAAAGCTCTTTCTTGCTGTAATAATAATCTTATTCAACCTCCTTCTCTGAAATGAATGTTTAATTAGTATAACTAGAAGTACAATACATTGAAACATCTGGAATCACATGGTGCCATTATGCAAGGGCAAAATAAAGTAACACTAGTCTTCCTCCTTACCTTGATTTACATATGGTGTTTTAGGGGACAGTGAAAGAGTTGGTGTATCAGGATTACTGGATGAAGTAGCTAACGATAGTGGCCACATGGATTTATCTCCTGTCTTGGAGTCAGCCTGGGGTAAAATATAAAAAAAAGAACATTGCTTACATGAAATAGCAAGCTTTTAACATTGAAGAACATGTTTTGCTTAATAATTACTTATTTGAACTTTAAATATATACATTATTAATTAACAGTATAAAAATTACAAATAGAAGTATTGGCTATTACAGACAACTTCTGATGGGAACTATGTTGCTCAGCTATATGTTGTAAACCTAGATAAAATTGTATTTCTATACTTTATAATAAAAGAATAAGTATTTGGTAATATATGTATTTCTTGATAATACAAGTTTCTAGTACAAAGTGTAAATAAGTTAGGTTACTTTAATTTTGTTAATTAGTTCATTAATGTTCAAAATTCCCAGATACAAACCCAAATATTTCTCTCGACCCATCAAGATTAAAAGGAAGTGGATAAGAAGAATTTCATGCTAAACTTCGTTACAAATCTACATACTTATAATGGTATAAGCATGAATAAATATTACAAAAACAAAACAAAAAATATACAATATCAAAAAACAAAATATTCCCAATCTGAATGTGTCTATTTTAAATACTTATTCATGCTGATAAATATTGCAACTACGCTGATTTTTAATTAAAGTAACTAATTCAAGCATCAGTTGGATGTTACTATTATTCTGTGGAAACTGTTCATTCAACTTTGATAGGCATTGGTTAACATAGAACAGATTACATTAATTTATGCAAATTCAATAAAGAGTTTCATATCATTGCACCAATATCTGTGTATGTTGTTCTGTAATCTTAAAATAGTTAGCCATCTCTGGTGATATATTCTTTTAATTCTTATAAAAAAGTATCTTTGTGCTAATTTCTATATAACTGATTATAGTATATCATGATTATAGTATTTACTAACTCTGTGCATTAATCTCTTAGTGTTAACAGAGTTATTGTGCACATTGGAGAACTTAAATTTACAGTCAAAGACTAATTTCAAGAAATGTTAGCTATAATGCATTGTATAAAATGCTTGGACCATTCTGAACTCCAGAGGCATGTGCCCCAGTTCTATTTGAAGTGCTCCATATCTCCAGTTGGTGTCTTGAAAAATCAGAATAGAAAACCATGATTGATATGAAATGCTGAAAGTTCCTGCACCTATGGCCCTGAGCCCAAAATCTGTTAATTACCTAGCAATGTCTCTGCAGAACTCTATTTTAATAATATTTTCTGCCAGCACCTAAATCGTTTAAAACACATAAAGTACAGTATATTTTCTTGCTTTCCCACGAAAGTCCAGAAGAACAGTGAAGAGATATAGAGAACTGTTTCATTAATATTGTTACGTCTCCATTTGTTAAATGATTTCCCGTAAATTTGTTCCGATGAAACTTTAGCGACACAAGTCCTTTCTTAATAAAACTGGTTTATTCTTTCTGAATATAACTTTACGATACACTTAATTTCAACAATCACGATAAAACAAATGCTATAACAACAAACATGCTCAACTTCAACAATACTCTCTGACTGCAGATCAATTACTCACTGTCTACACACACATTGATGCCGTCACGTTGAGACCATCTTATATATACCAGACTACC